CTAAGATCAGCAGGGCATAGCCTGTTGATCAACGAATTGGCTATATGCAAAGTTGAAGTGTGCCAAAAGCTGGAGACCTTCCTCAAAGTTACTTCTTATATACTGGAAGCAGCTCACATCCCTAAAGCAGCTACTCAACTGCTCCAGTAGATTCCACCATGGAGTTAATTACCAGTCTCACCATGGGGAATAACTACATCCAGCTGCCCAGCCCAGTTGACTGACAATCTTAACTACCACATAGCCTGAATGAAGTTGAGGTTTATCCTTAGAAATTTATCATAGCCTTGTTCTACTTCCTGACTTTTGCAACAGGGTCAGGATTTTGTGAGTAATGTGCCTTCATAAGGTTTTTTGAAATCACAAACCCCACAGCCTTCAAACTACTATAAAAATTCATAGCTTGTAGGCTTGGGAGACACACTTGGTGCTGCCTCTGGCCCCATGTGTCTCCATCTTGTAAGGTTACTATCCTCTTGTTAAATTTCTCTCTGAACTACAGATGACTTTCTAGTGATTATTTCAGACCTTGACTGGTGACAAACTACCTAGAGCAGTGGTTATTTTTAGATAATAGCACTATGAGTAATATATTGTTTTTCTCCCTTCTATTTTCATTTTTTTCCAATGTGGATTGACATTTTTATTGTTTATTAGGAAAAAAATGTTCTTTAAGGAACGTTTGAAAAAAATAAAAGCATAAAAGAAAAGAAGATGGTAAATTATTATAATTCTGCCATTAAAACACAGATATTAACAATTTGAAAAACTCTTTCAACATTTTATTTTCCATCTCATGGGGTTTTCTATGTTACATAACTATAATCATAACTTCTTTTTTTATAATTACAAAAAATAATCATGCCCTTTGAAAACTATTTAAAAATTCTGAAATGTATAGAGTGTAAAAGGAATGTGTATTTAAGTGGGGCTATATGTTGTTGTTGTTGTTATGTGCCGTTGAGTTGGCCCCGACTCATAGCGACCCCTCCTTGGGTTTCCGAGGCAGTATCACTACGGAAGTAGGATTGCCCAACCTTCCTTCCGAGGAGTGGCTGGTGGGTTTGAACCCCCAGCCTTCTGGTTAGCAGTCAAGTACTTTAGCCACTATGCTACCAGAGCTCCTAAGTGGGACTATATAGACATGTACTAATTTTACATTTTGGAGAAAATATATATTTTAAAAAGTCATGGGTATATACTTTCTATACTAAAAACATGATCTATCAGTTCCAGCATCTTTTGCCACACAAAGAATACAATTAAAGCACATACCTCCTTTTCCAACATCAAGCCTTCTGCTCTGAGATTCTTTTCAAAAGTGTTTCTTCTGTCATACTGTATATTTGACTTTCTATAAACCAGGATGTAATCAATCCGCTTTTTGCCATCTTTAAATAGGAGGCCACTGGATGCTATGTAATTCATGTCATTCTGCAAACAAAGCAAGGGTTGTTAATAGTGTAAATTGTGTAACCAAATTATGGTTTAATTCATTCTGTTTGAACACTTGCAGACCAATTACCAAAGATATATGATCCTAATTGTGAGATATGGTAAGATTATTAGAGACAAGTTAGCAAGTGATGTTCTAGAATTTGAAATTAGGCAGTGTGATTCCAGAACCTAAGCTTTATGATTCAGGCATCAAAACAGGTATGTTTTGTCAGTAAGATCCTATACAAAAAATATTAGCTAACATATATTGAGGGTTTACTAAATATCAAGCCTAGATATTAATGGTCTATATATTTTATCTTATTTAATTCTCATAACTTATGTTTCAAATAAAAAGTCCCTAAGACTTACAGAACATAAGCACTGAAAACTAAAACCGACATAATTTCCTGTGTTAAACAATACTTGGACCAAGCATTACTTTCCTAAATCTATATTCAACAAAATTGTAACCAAGCAATAATACCTCAGAACCTTGCTCCAGAAATGCTTGCTCCTAGAAGAGAAGATCGTGAACCAATTAAAAGAGTTTACGTATCCACTGTTGTTGCTGTTATGTGCTGTGGAGTCAGACCCGACTCATAGCGACCCCTCCTTGGGTTTCCGAGGCAGTATCACTATGGAAGTAGATTGCCAGTCTTCCTTCCAAGGAGTGGCTGATGGGTTTGAACCACCAGTCTTCTGGTTAGCAGTCAAGTGCCTTAGACAATACACTACCAGAGATCCCTACATATCCACTAGTAACTCTGTTGTCAAGAATACTTTAAGATCCCCCCACTTTGCTATTCCTAACATCCCAAAAGCATTTTGATGTAAACTCTTCTTGCTCAGTTATCAACCAAATGCCTACCTAGCTGGACCTCTTTAAAAATCACCCAGCTCAGGCTCAAAATTTCTATGAAAACTCTTCCCTAACTTTACTCTTTTGAAACAGTACTAAGATTATAAATCCAGTTGCTGTCAAGTCAAAATCAACTCATGGTGACCTCACATGTTGCAGAGTAGAACTGTGACCCATAGGGTTGTCACAGTGACTTTGTGGAAGCAGATTACATAGCCTTGTTTCTGAGGCACGTCTGGGTGGATTCAAACCTCAAACTTTTTGCTTAGTAGGCAAAATATCAACCATCTGAGCTATGCAGAGACCCATACTAATGCTATCGTGTTTTGACTCAAACACATTTGAGTAAAACATTTGTTTGTTAACTGCTCCCTGCCCTCCCCATGGATTTGCATAAGAAGCTATATTATTTTTTTTTACAGGAACATGCAAAAAGAATTAACATAGCACTTACGAAAATACTGCATGAAGGAAGGTATGGTTGGCAAACAAAGTTAGAAGGCAGAAGCATGATATTTGTGTGAAAATACAGTAAACAAATGGTATATTTTCATTTGCTATAAGTAAATTAGACAAACAAATTTTCCTGATAGTCTTCTTGGAGGTTGGGGAGCTTTACCAATCTATTGCCTCAGATCACTGAAGAGCCAAGACTCAAGTGCAATTTTGTCTAGGTCCATGCTCTTAAGGATACTATCTTGTCCTTCTTTCTTTCAGAGTACATGTCTTCCTTAAAGTTATTTGGACATTTGCACTCATTCTCTATTGCATGTGACCAATACAGGCATTCTTAAGATGGAAATTTTTTTTTTAAATTCTGGAGAGTTATAGGATAATTGCAGACAAAGTCATCCCATACTGCTTTGAAAGGCCATATTGGAACACATAACTAGCTCCAAGTAAAAGAGGTAAGTATCAGAGTAATCTGGTCCCCAAGGATATAAAGTCCAAGTTGTTGTTGTTGCTGTTGTTGTTATGTGCTGTCGAGTCGGACCCAACTCATAGTGACCCCTCCTTGGGTTTCTGAGGCAGTATCACTACAGAAGTAGATTGCCCCATCTTCCTTCCAAGGAGTGGCTGATGGGTTTGAACCGCCAGCCTTTTGGTTAGCAGTCAAGTGCCTTAGATGTAAAGTCCAAGTAACATCCAGGTAAAGCAATAGAAAAGATGTCTGAGAAATTCTCATTCTACAGGGCAAGGCAGGTAGTATCAAGAATGTCAGATGGGTTTAGGCTTTTTAGAGAGAACGGGTTACAGTGTATGAATGCACAGCAGTAGAGACACTTGGGCACAAGAACAAGAAATCTTTGTAGAGACTTTTCTTTAATAATGGGACATGTTTTGAGATGTCTGAACTAATCTCAGCTGTACATATAATATGAATAATCCAATAATGCTGGGGAAGTCTCCAGGATGTAACAGTTGCATATTAGTATTAACAATGACAGTAATAATGATAATGCTAGCTATCATTTATTGACCATTTGCTATGTGCCACACATTGCCAAGCACTTTATAAGGTAATTTAATTTAAATCTAATGACCTTTTCTTTTTATCATTCTTTAAAGAGATGGAAAGCCTAATTACCAACTACATACAGAAAGGAAAAAGACCACAGATAAGCAGAATACTTCTACAGAATGACAAAGTAGGAAGCCTCCCACTCCCTGATTTCAAAATCTAGTATACAGCTGCAGCAGTCAAAATAGCCTAGTATTGGTGCAATGACAAACACACAGACCAATGGAACAGAACTGAGAACACAGAAGTAAATCCATCCACCTATGGAGACTTGTCCAGTGTAATAACACATTTGATTCCTTGACTGTTGTCCTATGGATGTTGATCATGGATCCAAGTAAAATTAAAATCCCTGGCAACTTCAGCCTATTCTCCATTTATCATGCTGTTACTTATTGGACCAGTTGTGAGGATTTTAGTTTTCTTTATGTTGAACTATAAACCATACTGAAGAGTGTAATCTTTGATTTTCATCAGTAACTGCTACAATCTTCACTTTCTCCGAGCAAGGTTGTATCATCTGCATATCACAGGTTATTGACGATTCTTCCTCCAATACTCCTGCCATGTTCTTCTTCACATAGTCCAACTTCTCAGTTTATTTCTGCTGTAAGGGACCGATACTCATGCCATGTTCATCTTCATAAAGTCCAACTTCTCAGTTTATTTCAGCTGCAAGGGACCTCTTTAAAGCATTACAGAGCAAAGATGTCACTTTGAATACTAAGGTGCACCTTACTCAAGCCATGGTATCTTCAATCACCTCATATACATGTGAAAGTTGGATAATGAATAAAGAAGACAAATAAAGTTGATGCTTTTGCATTGCGGGGTTGGCAAAGAATAGCGAAATACAATGGATTGCCAGAAGGATGGACAAATCTGTCCTGGAAGAGGTGCAGTCAGAATGCTCCTTTGACATCAGAATGTCCAGATTTCATCTCACCTACTTTGGTCATGTTGTCAGAAGGGACCATTCCCAGGAGAAGAATACCAAGCTTGGTAAAATAGAGGTTCAGTGAGAAAGGAGAAGACCTTTAACAAGATGCACACAGTGGCTTCAACAATGGGCTCAAGTATAGCAAGGATTGTGAGTATGGAACAGAACTAGGCAGTGTTTTGTTCTGTTGTACACAGAGTCTCTATGAGTCAGAGGAGATTTGACAGCACCTAAGAACAACATGCATAGCTAATCTTTGACAAAAGGCCCAAACCTATTGAATGGAGAAAAGGTAGTCTCTTTAAGAAATGGTGCTGGAAAAACTGGACATGGATTTGCAGAAAAATGAAACAGGATTTATATATCATACCATATACAAAAACTAACTCAAGGTGGATCAAAAACCTAATGCAAAACCTAAAACCGTAAAGATCATCAAAGAAAAAATAGAGGAGTACTTACGAACCCCAATACCTGGCATAAATACATTATCAAACATAACTAAAAATGTACAAATGCAGAAGACAAACTAGATGACTGGAACCTCCTAAATTAAAAAATTTATTTGTATAAAAAGACTTCTTCAAAATAGTAAAAAGAGAACCTACAGACTATGGAAGAATTTTGACAATGATATATTGAACTAAACTCTAAAATTTATAGGAAACTTGAAAATGGCCAAAGGGTATGAACAGAAACATCAACAAATAAGACAATCAGACAGCTAACAAGCTCATGAAAATATGCTCATGATCATTAGCTATTTGAGAGATGCAAATCAAAACAACAATGAGCTATC